TTGCATTTTGCTGATTGCTAGGGATCTTGACCATTTTTTCATATATTTGTTGACCACTTGTATTTCTTTTGAGAAATGCTTGTCTAATTCTTATGCCCATTTATTAATGGGRTTGTTTTTTGGTGCTAAGTGTTTTGAGTTCTTTATATATTCTGGATATTAGTCTCCTCTTGGAGATTTATCTGGTAAAGATTTCTCTGTTAAAGTTCTTAATTATTTCCTTTGCTCTAGAATCTTTTTAATTTGATGCAGTCCCATTTATTCATGTTTGGGTTTATTTCTTTTGCTTTAGAGGYCTTGTTAAGGAAGTTGGTGTTTGCATCAGTATGTTGGAGTGTTGCACCTATGTTTTTTCCATTTGTTGCAAAGTTTCTGGTCTAATTCCTAGATTTTTAACCTGCCTTGAGTTGACTTTTATGCAGGTGAAAGATAGGGATCTAGTTTCATTCTTCTACATATGGATATCCAGTTTTTCCAGTGCCGTTTGTTAAAAAGGCTATCTTCTGGTATTCCCCTTCTCCCTCCTTTTCCCTCCCACCCCTATTCCCTATCTAGAGGTAATTTTCCACCCATGCTCTCCCTCCCTACCCYACTTTGAGTCACTCCCCTTATATCAGAGAAAACATTGGGCATCTGGTTTTTGGGGATTGGCTAACTTCACTTAGCATAATCTTCTCTAATGCCATCCATTTCCCTGCAAATGCCATGATCCCATTCTTTTTTAGTGCTGAGTAATATTCTATTGTGTATAAATGCCACATTTTTTTTATCCATTCAGTATTAAGAATTGTAATGCAAAAAAAAAATAAGAGAGCTCATGTATAATGGCATAATTTGGCTTGAACATACTGTATATACAGAGTTATGAAAAATTTGCTGTGCATGGATAATTATGAATGTAATGCACTCCACTATTGTCATGTAAGTAAGAAATTTTTAAAAAGGCTATCTTCTGGGGCTGGGATTGAGGTAGAGCGCTTGCCTAGCACATACAAGGCCCTGTAAATAAATAAAATAAAGATATTGTGTCAAACTACAACTAAAACATAAATATWTTTTTTTAAAAGGCTGTCTTCTCCAACAAATGATTTTGGCATCTTGTTGAGTATCAGATGACTGTATCTATGGAGTTTGTCTCTGTATCTTCTCGTCTATTCTATTAGTCTTCATATGTATTTGAGATCAAGTATTCTGATACCTCCAGCATTGCTCTTCTCATTCAGGATTGCTTTGGCTTTTCTGGGTCTTTTGTACTTCCGAATGAATTTTAGAATTTTTTTATAGCTTTGTAAAAAATATCATTGGTATTTTGATGGGAATTGTATTGAATCTGTATAACATTTTTTGTAGTATAGGCATTGTGACAATATTATTCTACCTATCCAGGAACATGGAAATTTTTCATCTTCTAAGATCATCTTCCATTTCTTTCTTCATTGTTCTAGCTTTCATTGCAGAGATCTTTAACCTCTTTGGTTTGATTTATTCCCAAGTATTTTTTGTTTTGAGGTTATTGTGAATGAGATAGTTTTCCTGATTTCTTTCTCTGTATTACTGGAATATAGTAAAGATATTGATTTATGTATGTTGATCTTGTATCCTGCTACTTTGCTGAATTTATTTATAAACTCTAGAAGTGTTCTGGTAGAGTTTTTTTTTTGTGTCTCTAGATAAGGTATCATATCATAAGCAAATGGATAATTTGACTTCTTCTTTTCCTATTTGTATTCCTTTAATTTCCTTCTCTTGTCTGATTGCTCTGGTGGAGTTTCAAGAACTATAATGAATAGGAGCGGTGAGAATGACATCCTTGTCTTGTTCCTGACTTTAGAGGAAATGCTTTTTGTTTTTCTCCATTCAGAGGATGTTGTCATTGAATTTGTCATATAGAGCCTTTATAATAAAGAGGTAAATTCCTTCTATCTCTAGTTTCTCTAGTGTCAAAACATGAATGGATGCTGGATTGTGTCAAAGGCTTTTTCCACACCCATTGAGATGATCACATGATTCTTGTTCTTAATTCTGTTTATTTGGTGAATTACATTTTTTGATTTGTGTATGTTAAATCAACATTGCATCCCTAGGATGCAATCATTTGATTGTGGTATACTACCTTCTTACTGGTGTTTTTTGTTTTGTCTTGTTTTGGGTACTGAGGATTGAACCCAGGGGCGCTCATATCCCAGCCCTTTTTTTTTTAATTTTCTTTGAGACAGAGTCTCATTAAATTGCTAGGGGCCTTGCTAAATTGTTGAATTTGCAATTCTCCTGCCTCAGCCTCCCAAGTAGTTGTGATTACATGTGTGTGTCACCACACCCAGCCTTACTGTTTTTTAATATGGTTTGTTAGTATTTCTTAAGGACTTCTGATCTGTGTTCATCAGAGATATTGGTCTGTAGTTTTCTTTGCATGATGTGTGTTTGTTTCATTTGGGTATTAGTGTGATATTGGCTTCATAAAATGAATTTGGGAGTGTTCATTCTATTTCTATTTTGTAGAATAATTTGAAGAGAATTGACATTAGTTCTTTAAGGATCTGGTAGAACTTGGATGAGAATCTATCTGATCTTGGGCTTTTCTTTGTTGGAAGGCTTTTAATTTCTGCTTCAGTCTCATTGCTTGATAGAGAAACTGTGGAATGAAACTGCCAAACTCTCCTGTGTATGAATATACCACAGTGAATTTCACCTTTATGTATATCTATAATACAGTAATTTWAAAAAATCTATAAATATATAGAAGAAAGAACAGCTAAATAGAGAAAAGGGAAAAGGAGGAAGGAAGGGAAAGGGGATATTACTGAGAACTGAACTGGAGCAAATCATATCCAGGTACTATGATTATATCAAAATGGACCTCAATATTATGTATATAATCCCACTATTATATATTATGTATAACTTTAACATGCTAATAAAAATTCTTTTTAAAAAGAGTCAGTTATGGGGTTAGGGTTGTGGCTCAGTGGTACAGCACTCGCCTAGCACGTGCAAGGACCTGGGTTCAATCCTCAGCACCACATAAAAATAAATAAATAAAATAAACGTGTTGTGTCCAACTACAACTAAAAAATAAAAAAATAAAAGAGTCAGTTACTTAAGGAAGTCTTTCCTGACTTCCTGGACTTTTTYAGTCTAGGTCGGTTTCCTTTGTTAAATACTTTTCTCCTGAAATATTTTCTTTAATTTGGAGGGGGTACCAGGGATTGAACTCAGGGGTACTTGATCATTGAGCCACATCCCTAGCCCCATTTTGTGTTTTATTTAGAGACAGGTCTCACTGAGTTCCTTAGCACCTTGCTTTTGCTGAGGCTGGCTTTGGATTCTGAATCCTCTTGCCTCAGCCTCCTGAATTTCTGGGATTACAGATGCTTGGACAGAAATAGTTTCTTAATATGTATTTTAAATTCATCTGTATCATTATTGGATTGATGCATGAGTCCCTCGGTGTTCTGGAGGTTACATAATAGATCATCTTACTTCCCTTGAATATACATTGAGGCACAGTAACTGGAACATAGAGTATACTCCATAAATATGGAATGGATGGCTGGGTAGATATATGGATAGAAGGTTGGTATGAAGAATGAATTAGAATGAGTGCAGTGGGAAGGGATGGCTGGAGAAGTGGGAATGAATTGTGGCCAAATAACAAGCCAAGAGCAATTTTTAGTGCTTTATATTGGTAAAAGCACTTTGTAAAACTGCGTAAATTTCGTCACCTCTCAGTTTTGTTATTTTCACATTATAGAAAACATATATTTCTCTTTTGGTGGCAGTGTACTTACATAAGGCCTTATTCCAGTAAAGGGTGGGAGATAAAATTATTTTGAGCATTTGAAAGCATTTATGTARCTTGAATATCATGTTATGGTTTTGAAAATATGCTCTTATTTCTCATAAGTGGTTGTATTTTTAATTTACACTTTCCCAGAATCTTTTCCCCTCAGAGGCGTCAGTGCTAGAAAATTATCAAATTGTGATAATTTTATGATATTATAATTTCATATCAACATGTCAGTCAAGAATAGAAAAATGGGCACTGTGAATGAAACAGTGACTAACATTTTGTCTTTAGGCACAACACTTGTAGAGTAACTGAAACAGTGGCAAATCCAGATAGAATAATAGACCAAATGTGTATATCTGAGCTAGCATCAGGAGTGGAAGTTTTTTAAGTGGGAAAAGATTTGGGTCTAAGTGTGTGTGTGTCTGTGTGTATACACACACATATATACACACACACACACACACACACACACACACACACACATATATATATATATATATATTTTAGAGAGAGAGAGAATTTTTTAATATTTATTTTTCAGTTTTCGGTGGACACAACATCTTTATTTTATGTGGTGCTGAGGATCGAATCCAGCGCCCCGCACATGCCAGGCGAGCACATTACCACTTGAGCCACATCCCCAGCCCCTAAGTATATTTTTTTAAATGACCAGTTGAACACCCTACTGACAGATTTTATTTGAAGAATTTTTTAAATTCCTGATTTCTTTTATTTTTTAATTAATTAATTAATTAATTTTGTAGTTGCAGATAGACAGTGTGCATTTATTTTATTTATRTGGTGCGGAGGATCAAACCCAGTGCCTCACATGGCTAGGCAAGTGCTCTTCTAGTGAGCTACAGCCCCAGCCCTATTTAAAGAAATTTTTTTTTAACTTTTGCTTTGTTTTTTAAAAAATTTATTTACTTTTGCATTACAATTCTTAATACACCTTTATACCACAATTTATCATATCTCTGATTGTATATAAGGTATGTTGACACACACAAAAAAGAAATTTTAAACATGAATTATCTTTCTTGGAGTGTTTTGCATGGACTATTAATACCTATATTGTCTAAACTTCTTATAGTTTTAGTGTACTAGTGTTAAAAGATTGGCCCCACTTTGTTTTGCATGTTTTTTCAGTTAAAAAATAATATATATACATACACACATATTTATTTAAAAAATTATCCTATCTTTGCAGCACTTAAATGCAGAAAGGTCTTACAAATCCCAGATTGCAACCTTGCATAAATCTCTTGTGAAGATGGAGGAGGAGCTTCAGAAAGTTCAGTTTGAAAAAGTGTCTGCTCTTGCAGATTTGTCTTCCACAAGGGAACTCTGTATTAAACTTGACTCAAGCAAAGAACTTCTTAATCGACAGCTAGTTGCTAAAGATCAAGAAATAGAAATGGTATGTAATATATTTTTAAGATGCCTTTAAAATTGCTATTACTATAACATTGCTACATTTTTTTAAAGAGAGGTTCTCTTTCTTTTTTGTATATATTTATTTTTTAGTTGTAGCTGGACACAATACCTTTATTTTATTTATTTATTTTTATATGGTGCTGAGGATTGAACCTCATAAAGTATCATAAGTATATGGAAATCAAGCAACACACTTCAAAATACTGTAGGTAAAAGAAGAAATCACAAAGGGGGAAAAAGAGATTAATGAGAATGAAAACACAGTGTGCCAAAATGTATAGGATACAAATAAAAATTAAAATATTTTATTTTTAAAAATACATATTAAAAAACAGGAAAACAGTTGATCAAATGAACTTCATTCAAATTTTTAAAAAACTTTGGTGCTGTAAATAATATTAAAAAGTAAAAAGCCAGTGCATGGAATGGGGGGAAATATTTGCAAATCATTTGTCTAATAAGAGATCTGTATGTAAAATACATACAGAATTCTTATGACTTAATAACCCAATAAAAAATAAGCTAAGGATATCAGTAGACATTTCTCTACACAAGATGCATAAATGGACAGTAAGCACATGAAAAGATACTTGGAATCATTAACAATCAGAAATGCAAATCACTATTTCACATATACTAGGATGACTGTGTTTAAAAAGGCAGATGCTAAAAAAAATATTGACAAAGATATAGCAAAAGTGGAATCTTCATACACTGATGGTGGAAAGTAAGTGAGGCCACTGTGGAAAACATTTTGTCAGTTCCTAAAAATGTTAAAAATAGGATTAATATACAACCCAGAAATTCTACTCCTTTTATATTTAAGAAGAATAAAAATTATATGAACACACAAAAACTTTTACACAGTTCTCCATGATAGCATTATTTATAACAGACCCAAAGTGTAATTCAAATATTCCTAACTGTGAATGCATACCTGTGCTGCAATGGAATGTTATGGAATATGATGAGGCAATAAAAGTAACAGAGTACTGATATCTGCTAAAACATTAATGGCTTTTTTCTTTTTTTTGGTATTGGGGATTGAAACCAGCAGTGCTTAACCACTGAGCCACATCCCCAGACTTTTTTTTTTCCTTTTTCTTTTTTTGAAACAGGGTACTAATACTGAGTCTCTTTGGGGGAAGTTGAAAAAGCTGTAATTTAGATTAAAGTGATGATTGCATGAGTCTGTTAATATGTTTAAAATCATTGAATTGTACACTTATTAAATGAGTAAGTTGTGTGGAATGTGAATTATGTTCCAGTAAAGCTGTTGCCAAAAAAAGTGATGCTCCATTTTGTACTAGTGTCATCCAAGTATACGGGCTTACCATTGCCTCTTTTAATGTTCATCAACACTAACCAATTTGCCAATTTGATAGAATAATGTGTCTTTTAAAATTTTATTGGTTCTTTTTAGTTGTACATGACAGTAGAACCCATTTTGACGTAATCATACAAGCATGGAATATATCTTATTGTAATTAGAACCCTAGTACCTCTCCTTCCCCTCTTTTCCCCACTCCTTGCTCTCCTCCCTCTATTGATCTTTCTGCCATTTACCTGTAGTTTTTTTWAATTAATTTATTGTGGATGTACACAATAGTGAGATTCACTGGTGTATTCACATATATACGTGGGAAAGTTATGTCAGATTCGTTCCACTGTCTTTCCTTTTCCTATACCCCCTTCCTTCCTTTTTATCTACTCCTCTGAACTTCTATTCCCCACCCTGCTTATTGTTAGCTTCCACATATCAGAGAAAACATTCACCTTTTGATTTGGGGGAATTGGCATATTTTACTTAGCACAATAGTCCCTAGTTCCATCCATTTACCAGCAAATGTCATAAAGTCATTCTTCTTTATGGCTGAGTAATACTCCGTTGTGTATATAAACCACATTTTCTTTATCCATTCATCTATCAAAAGGCACCTAGGTTGGCTCCATAGCTATTGTGAATTGTCTTTAATAGACTTTTGATTCAATTGAAATATGTTTAGCAATATCTACATATGCTTTGGATCCTTGACCAGAGTGGGGAATGCTAGTAGTATCTAGTGGACAGAGGTCAGGGATTTTGCTGAAAATTCTATAATGCAAGGGCAGCTCTCCACACCAAGTAATTATCTAGCCCAACAAGTCAGGAGTGTCAAGGTAAAAAACCCTGGACTGGGAGTTGCATCTTGTTTGAATTTATATCATTTTGACCACTAGCAAGCATAAATTTTTGTATGTTTGCTGTTTAGTTGTATTGCTTTTTTTGTACATTTTAATCATATCATTTTCATATTTCTCATTCGTCTGAGTTTTTATACTCATAAAGGTATTAACTATTTTATTTACAAAGTTTATTTTTTTCCAGTTGAAAGTTTCTTTTGAATTTTTGGTTAAGTTTATGTTGATTAGAAAAATGTTTATTTTTTATGTGGTTAAACTTATTTTTGCATTGTATTTAGCTTAGAAAATTCTTCCCCTATCTACCTACCTACCTGTCTCTACTCCAGCAATTTTGTTTTTATTTATATCCCTTTACTGGATTTTAAACTTATGCTTTCACATTTAACTTTTTAAATGCCTATAGAATTTATTATAACATATATTATAAAGATTAATTTTTTGTAAATAGTAATGACAAGTCTTCCACCTTTTGAAGAAATATTTTATGTACATTGCATATTTTAGGTTCAAGATAACCTTCAGAAACTTCCACAGTTTTAGCAAGAGAGGAATTTATGTTTTCCCCTTGCATTCCTTAACTATGGAGTAGCTAGGTATTTGTAACTCGCCTTTCTTAAGACAGAGCAGTAGTCACAGGTATCACCCAGCAGCCTGGCAGTAATATATACAGAAATATCAAAGCTGGAAATAAAAAGTGGTTGCAGTTTGGGATTAATAAGATTTTCTTAAATTAATGAATTTTCTGATCTGATTAGACGGATGGGGAAAGTGATGCTATACAGTATGTGTGGTATATATATTTGTTAAGAAAGAGGACACAGTTTCAAACTAAGAAATTGAAAGTGGTTGTCAGTTTATAACATATTGAAAGAACTTGAGAGTCCTTGATTATATGCCAGTTAAATGAATGAATGGAAATAATYGTAGATATCTTCCTATTATTGTACAGATGGAGAATGAGTTAGATTCTGCTCGTTCTGAAATAGAACTCCTCAGGAGTCAGATGACAAATGAAAGAATCTCCATGCAGAATCTAGAAGCTTTGCTGGTGGCCAATCGAGACAAAGAGTATCAGTCTCAGATAGCACTTCAAGAAAAAGAGTCTGAAATTCAGCTTCTTAAAGAACACCTTTGTTTGGCAGAAAATAAAATGTGAGTTGGCTAGCAGTATAATAACTTAAAGTTATATTTCTTAAAATTTTGGTTCTTTATAGATCAGTAGAATTTTAAAACCTGAATTTAGGGAATTTAGCTCCCATACTTTTCCATTAATTAAACTGAGGATTACAAATATTGTGATTTGTCTAAGATTTTATATTTAGTTGTATTATTTTTGTTCTTATGTAAGATATCTAAATTTAACCATCTTTGCTGGGGTTTTTTCCCAATAGAGCTTTAGGTAAAATAGAATGTCTGATCTAAAATATTGCCTTTAGGAAATGTAACCAGAGTAGAAAAAAGTAAGCACTCTGAAACTGGAAGAATTTTTTTTTTTTTTAGAGAGAGAGAGAGAGAGGAGAGAGAGAATGAATTTTAATATTTATTTTCTAGTTTTCGGCGGACACAACATCTTTGTTTGTATGTGGTGCTGAGGATCGAACCTGGGCTGCTGGCATGCCAGGTGAACGTGCTACCGCTTGAGCCACATCCCCACATTTTTTTAAAAAAATATTTTTAGTTGTAGATAGACACAATCTTCTTATTTTSTTTATATTTATGGATCAAACCCAGTGTCTTCCACGTGCTAGGCAGGCACTCTACCACTGAGCTATGTTCCCAGATCCCCAGAAGAATTTTTGTATGTGTGGATCATCTGATATTGCTATCTAGTCTTTCCATTTGTCATTAGTGTTTCTGTATACTAGATACCTGGAAGATTTCCTGAATTTACAAAATACCGAACATTTCCCCAGAGCGTGACTTTGACTTTCTTTGTTTGTTTTTGTTAGAATCCCTAGTACAGCTTAYACTTTATTAGAACTCCCAGCTGGAGATTGGAGTGGAAATGCTTGCCTTGATAGAGAACATTTCTTTCATTAAACCTGGTTAACACTTAGTACCAATGGGGAGTTTTAGACCATATTTTTGTATGTCCCATCTATAACATTAGCTTTTCCCCCATCATCAGTACCTTTTAATCTAACTCTTTGCTATGTTGAGTCTGTAGAATTTCTTCATTCTTAGGAGGCAAAAGCTAACTCCTTGAATTGTTGACAGTGGCAACATGAAAGAAAAAGAAAAAGTTGGGGAAGGGAGTGTGGGAAGTTGGAAGGGTAGTGTAAAGAGATTTAATAGTTACCAGTTAACAATTTCAAACTAAATTATTGACATTGCTGTCCTAAACTGTTCTATAAGTGAGATTCCTTGAGATTCAGCCTCGCTTTTTACCAGACAGAATATCAGATTTCTCCAAACCCTTCTTYATAATATTTAAGCAGGTAGGCATAGTTTACCTCTGACCTCATTAAGGACAGCAGTGACTCAGCTTCTGACTTGTGCATCCTGAAATTTTGTTTCTATTCCTAAAGATTGTTCTCTAACTAATCTTACTTTCTAGGAAAACATTGGTGGTTTCTGCCTTCTAGATTCATTTCTTAACTTTCTGTTTGGCTTGTCCTTTGAAAAATCACCCCTTTCCTGTGACACAATGATTTGAGAAATTGCCTCTATGCACTTGTCTTTATTTCATAACATGTTCTTCTCCTGGCTCTCTAATCATTATTTTGACCATGGATCTTTCTGGAGGATAAGGAATTCTTTGATCTCTCAAGCCCCACAGCTTTGTCCTTGTTTCTTAACCTAGGATCTGAAGAAGGTTAGGAATCATGGTCTTGGCAATCAGCTACTACTGAGAGCTCCTGACTAAGCAAAGATGCAGAGTCAGGGCCATTTTCCTTCAGAAACTGCTGTTAGGTCATGGCAGCTGTGATTGAATCATTCTTTTCAGTTACCGTAGCTAGACTGTTGGGATGACTTCAGCTGGGTTTGTAGGAGCCCTTTTTGAAGCTGGTAGGTGGCAAGCTGCCTCAGTAACGTATACGAAAACTCCTACCATAAGGGATACACTGTTTTAGAATGACTGGTAAGTTATATCACTTAGAACTAGTGTGATAATCATTTGTTTTTTCAGTCTCTAAAGTTTGTATTTCAGCAGCTGTCTTGAAAGCAAGCAAAGAGAATAGAATTTTCTGGGCAAGCAGAATTCATCTGTCATTATCTTTCTTGGAGTGTTTTGCACTGACTATTAATACCTATATTGTCTAAACAAAGATAATATGCCTATTATATGCCATATTATCACTAATATGATAGTGTGCCTTATCAAAGAGTTTTTGAGGCATTGTTTAGCCTTAAGAAGATTCTGTCAAACTGAAGAGTTTTTGTGTAACAGTTCTACATAACAAATTTTATTTCATTATAAGTGTGTATAAAGTACTTGGTTGAATTGATGTATATAAATTGAATATATATGTGTGTGTGTATATATATGTATAAAGCCATATTAATCATGATACTAGTGAATTCTAGTATTATTTGTTCATACTACTGCTTATGCTGATATAATACTTAAAAGTACTTTTATAAAAACTATTTGCAGTAAATAGGAAATATAGATAACATTACATCATATAGGCATAGGGAAGCAGAAAAGTTTTAACTAATTGAATGGGACTGGGATCACTTAGGCTCTTCARGTAGGCTAGTTTATACATTTAATATGTCTAAAATTGGCATATTTCATATGTTCTAATAAATCTGTCCATAAAAATCATGCTGTGACTTGGATCCAGCTGAGAAACCATTGCCCACATGGTTTAATACACTCTAGGAGTCATAGCCATATTTTAAGTTTAACTGGGTTTCACTCTTACTTTCTTTTACACAGGGCCATTCAGAGTAGAGATGTAGCCCAGTTCAGAAATGTTGTAACGCAACTGGAAGCTGATTTAGATATTACTAAAAGACAGCTGGGGACAGAACGCTTTGAAAGGTAAGTTTATCTCTATACAATATCTAGCTAGGAAAGCATTGTTTTCTTAGGTAACAGTAGGTTTTAGTCATTTCATGAAGGTTATATTTTAAAATATTGAGTCACAGTTTTATGACAATTTTAATGTCACTGAACATAAAATTTAAAAGCATCACTATTTTGCTTTAGGGAAAGGGCTGTACAAGAACTTCGCCGCCAAAATTACTCAAGTAATGCTTATCATTTGAGTGCAATGAAACCAAATACAAAATGTCATTCACCAGAACGTGTTCACCATCTATCTCCTGACCGAGGCCTAGATCGATCGTTAGAAGAGTAAGTCAGTTTAAGGATCCATTTTCTTGGGGCCACGAGGAAACTATCAGCGAATATTTGAGGGAGTGAAGAAACTCAAATATTTATGTCTGTCATTACGAGTGATCTGTAAACATGATTACCAAGATATGTTGCCATAAAAATAAAGGATTTTCAAAATTTTTAGTGTTTTACATAAATGCTATATTAACATGAAATATGTCTAATATTTCATCTAATGTTTGCATAAGTTATATTTTAAATTGATTTTTTAAAAAAATTTTTAAAATATTTTTTTAGTTGATGATAAACCTTTATTTATTTAGTTATATGTGGTTCTGAGAATCCAACCCAGTGCCTCACACATACTAGGCAAGCACTCTACCACTGAGCCTCAACTTCAGCCCTGATTTTTAAAAATTTCTATAACAAATATTTTTCATTGTGCCTTTTACTATAAAAATGTTAATTATTATAGCACTGAGAAATATATATTTTTTAGGAAAGAAATAAGCTAATTTTTCAGAGGAAAATATTTTAGGTATATTCTGCATGTCACAAATTTTGTAATAAWACAACTTTTAATTTKGAATAGTTTCAAGTGTGCATGAAGTTAAAAAATAAAAATWGTATAAAAAATATCTGCATATCTTCACCCATTATAACTATTAATAGCTAATTAATTTGTTAAGTTTATGCTTCGTTTGCTTTTCATATGCATGTGTGCTCTCTCATGCATTCACTCTTACACCTGCTCCTTCTCTTTCACTGCACATACATGCATGCATATACACAACTGACCAGTTCCTTCAATTCCAGATCACACTCTCAGGTTTCTTCCTTGCCTTATTTCATTCTGTATTTGTATATTCTTTATTCTATGATGTGAGAATGCTGGCTCAACATCAATGCGCTTATTCAACATCAGTACCTTATTTGTTTGCCCAGTCCCAGAATGCACCTAAAGTAGTTTCAAATTTTCTATGCCAGTTTCACTACAGTAACAGACTGACTTCTAAAAAGTTTGAGATCCATTTGCAGTTCTTCCTTCCTGCTCTCTTACATTACCTTGTCCCAATTATTGAGGGTATATAATTAAATACTAAGTTTACTGATTACTTGAATTAGTCCTTCTTTTGTTTCCCCCTTTTTGTTGTGGTTATGGTATTCAATTGAAATAACATTAAATTCATTTGTTTCAACTTGCTTTCATTTTTCCTCTTCTAGCTTTTCCTTGATTTAATTAATTCTATTTTGAATGTGTAGATTAGCATACTCTTAAAAGTCAAAACTCCACAAGAAGTAATCATCAGAGAAGTGTCATTTTCTGTTGTACACATCCATCCCATGGCACATGCTTCTACGCCTTTCCTTTGTTATTTTTATGATAAAGATATAGAGACATGTATTTTTCCTTTCTTAACCAGCACASTGCATGTACTTGTTTGTACTTCGCTCTTCTCCCTTAGTAATGTGTCCTGGAAGTCAGTCTAAATTGATGGAGATTCTCTTCATTTCTTTTTATGACTGCTTAATATTCCTTTCTGTGGATATTTTATAGTTATTCAACCAGTCTCCTACACTTGGACATATAGGTGGTTTCCAATGATTTGTAATTATAATCAAGACTACAGTGAATAATCTTATGCATATGTATTTTCATATTATTGGAGAAGTATTTTTAGAATAAATTCCAAGAAGTGAGATTTCTGGATCAAGCAGTAATGCATATGTAGCTTTTTAAAATATTGCCAAATTTCTCTCCGTAATGGTATCATTGTGCACTCCCTCCAGCTGTGTGTAAATGCTCGTTTTCCTACAGCCTTCTCAGCAGAGTGAATTTGTACCAATATGGTAGGTGGAAAATGATATTTTAGTGTAGTTTTTATTTGCATTTCTATATTACAAGTGAAGTTATCTTTTAATAGACCATTTTTATATCTTCTGTATTATTTATTCATTTCTTTTGCCTATTTTTAATGGATTTTTGGTCTGTTATTAATTTAATTTTTATATATTTTGGAAGATTAATCTTTTATCTGTGATATGTACTATAAGAATTTACGCTCATTTTTGTCATTTGTCATTAATTTTACTTATACCATTTACTCCCACTTTTAAAATTTTACGAAGTGAAAATTTTAAATCTTTTCCTTTTCTACATCTGGATTTCTAGACATAGAAAATCTTTCTCTATATCTAGATAATAGAGATTTTCATCAGTGTTTTCTTTTAGTACTTACATAGTTTTACTTCTCTGTATTTCTGATGCATTTGGAATTTAGATTATGAGTGGTTTGAGGAATAGATCTTTTATTTTTCCAAATGAGTATCTAGTTGTCCCAAGATCATTTAGTTAAAAAAAAAATAACAAAAACCTCTTTGTCCCAGTCATTCACATTTCTTTCAGGACTTTCTCTTTATATTCCATTAATCTGCCTGTTTGTGTACTTATTGTCTGTTTTATTTTAGAGACTTTCTGGTATTTTTATGTAGAAATAGTCCAATGGTATGCCTGGAAAACTGGATTTCTAAGAGAGGAGGATCTATAGAACTCGCCAATTTTTGTAATACAAATGCTTCCGWTATGACCAGTTTCAAGCTATCAATGGTTTAATCTGCAGATCACCAAATTCTTAAATATTTACGATTAGCTGAGAACCAGCCTCAGGACAGAAATAGGGTCTTCCTTGTAAGTGTTTACCTGTATTTTCTTGAGAGTTTATTTTTCCATATGAACTTTTGGGTCAATTTGTCTTACATCATTTTTTTTAAAAGTCCATTGGAATTTTTATTAGGATCACATTATATTTATAAATTAACACAGGGAGAGCTGACATCTTGATGATAGTGATACATTCTAACCAAAAGGAGGAAATGTCTTACATTTGTTTGAATTTATATTTGTGTCTTTTAGGAATTCCTTGTAGTTTTCTTTATATAGATTTTGAACATTCCTTGTTAAGGTGATTCCTAAATATTTTATTTTTTGTGTTGCTATTATAATTTTTTATTCATTTATCTTCAAAAGTACTGTTGATATTTATGTTTTTCTWTTTATTAGTACATTATGATTATAAATAATATTGAGGTTCATTTTGACTTATTCATACATGTATGGAACATAATTTGCTCCAATTCAATCCCTAGTACTTCCCCTTTCCCTCATGTATTCCCTACCCCTTTTCCACTTCCTCTACACTATTGATTTTCCTTATATTTATTTATAGTTTTTTTTTAAATTTGTGCTTTGTAGATATACATAAAGGTGAAATTTGGTATGATACATATATATATATAGCACAGTTTGGTCACTTTCATTCCACTGTTCCTCTCTTTCCCTATCCTTCTTCCCTCAATCCCTTTTCTCTGTTCCACTAATCTCCCTTCTATTTTCATGGGATTCTCCCCTCATCCCCTCTTCCCCTTTATTTTGTTCTGGCTTCTATACATAAGAGCAAACATTTAACCCTTGACTTTTTATGTCTGGTTTGTTTCACTTAGCATGGTATTCTCTGGATCCGTCCATTTACGAGCAAATACCATAATTTCATTCGTTTTGAGGCTGATCAAACCTTTATTGTATTTTATACAGTTTCTTTATCCATTCATTTGTTCTTTTTAAATTTTTTTTTAGTTGTAGTTGGACACAATACCTTTATTTATTCATTTTTATGTGGCTGTCATGAATTGCGCTTCTATAATCCTTGATATGGCTATACAATTGTAGTAGGCTGATTTTAATTGTTTTGCATAAATACCCAGGAATGGGATAGCTGGATCATATGGAATGGATCTATTCTAGTCTTTGAGTCATACTCCTTTCCAAAATGGTTTTACTAATTTGCAGTCCCAACAATGTATGAGTGTACCTTTCCCCTCATATTCTCACCAACTTTTATAATCTTTTGTGTTCTTGATGATTGTCATTCTGACTGGCAAGAGATGAATATAATTTTGATTAGCATTTCCATGATTGCTAGGGATGTTGAATACTTTTTCATGTATTTGTTGGCTATTTGTATTTCTTCTTTTGAGAACTGTCTGTTCTTTTGTCCACTTATTAATTTGGGTTATCCTTTTTATGTTTAGTTTTAGTTTTTAGTTTTCTTTGTGATGTTTTAGTTTTTTGAGTTTTTATATATTCTGGATGATAATCCCCAGTTGAGGAGCATCTGGCAGAGATATTCCATTCTTCATTCTCTTGTTTCCTTTGCTGTGCAGAAAATTTTTAATGTGATGCTCCCAGTTATTGATTCTTGGTTTCATTTCTTGCACTTTAGGAGTCATGTTAAGGAAGTGGGTACTTTCACCAATATGTTGGAGTGTTGAGCCTATGTTTTTCTAACAGTTGCAAGATTYTGGTCTAATTCCCAGGTCTTTGATCCACTTTAAGTTGACTTGTGTGCATTTTCTACATATGGATATTCAGTTTTTACAGCACCATTTGTTAAAAAGGCTCTCTCTCTCCAATGAATGCTTTTGGCATCTTTGTCAAGTATGACTGAATCTGTGTGAGTTTGTGTCTTCTATTCCATTGTTTTGGTGCCAATACCATGCTTTTTTTATTACTGTAGCTCTGTAGTATAATTTGAGATCAGATACTGTGATGCCTCCCGCATCGCTCTTCTTGCTCAGGTTTGCTTTGGCCATTCTGAGTCTCTTATTCTTCCACATGAATTTTTAGAGTTGAAGTATATCACTGGTATTTTGATGGGAATCGTATTGACTGTAAAATGCACTATGGATAYTTTTTAAGCAGACCAGACACCCCCACTCAAAAGAAACTTGCCCTAATTAAGCTTCTCCTCTTGCCAGATCAGCAGGATGTCTGCAGAGGTTATTGTGGTTGGTAGTTTCCTCTTTCTTATAAATGCACAACATGTTATCTCTGTTTTCTTAGTTTTTTAAAAAAGTGAAACCTATGTCTGGTCTAGGGGATGGAGGGAGAGCACTTGACATGTGAACTTCCCAGCCCCGCCCCCACTGGGTATAAAGGTCAAAAAATTTCCAAAATCTATGTTCAGAGGAAGAATTCTTAGGCGAGAGCCWTCTCTGAACCCTGAAGTCAATAAACCTGCTTCCTGCAAGTTACTTGGGTGTCCAGCCTCTTCTGTCCTACTTCATTTTGACAATACTAATTCTATACAAGAAAAGGTCTTCAGGTTCTTTCTTCAGTGTTCTATAGTTTTCATTGCAGAGATCTTTAACCTCCTTGTTTAGATTTATTCCCAAGTATTTTTTATTTTGAGGTTACAATTGATGGGATAGTTTTCCTGATTTCTTTCTCAACAAATTCATTACTGGAATATAGGAAAGCTATTGATTTATATATGTTGATCTTGTATCCTGCTGCTTTGCTGAATTTATTTATAAATTCTAGAAATGTTCTGGTAGATTTTTTTGTGTATTCTAGATAAAATATTATAAACAAATAGATTTTTTTAACTTCTTATTTTTCTATTTGTATCCCTTTGTATCTCTTGTCTGATTGCTGTGATAAGAGTTTCAAGAACTATAAGGAGTGGTGAGAAGGATATCCTTGTCTTGTTCCTGACTTTAGAGGAAATACTTTTTGTTTTTCTCCATTCAGAGGATGTTGTCTATGAATTTGTCATATAGAGCCTTTATAATGAAGAGGTAAATTCCTTCTATCTCTAGTTTCTCTAGTGTCAAAACATAAATGGGTGCTGGATTGTGTCAAAGGCTTTTTTCACACCCATTGAGATGATCACATGATTCTTGTTCTTAATTCTGTTTATTTGGTGAATTATGTTTTTTGGTTTGTGTATGTTAAACCAGTATTGCATCCCTGGTATAAAATCCACTTGATTATGATATACTTTCATCTTACTGKGTTTTTGAAGGCAACTTGCCAATATATTTTTTTAATTTTTTAAAATACTTATTTTTTTAGTTGTAGTTGGACACAATACCTTTATTTATTTATTTTTATGTGGTGGCTGATGGTGGAACCCAGGGCCTTGAACATGGTAGGCAAGCACTCTACCGCTGAACCACAATCCTAGCCCCAACTTGCCAATATTTTTAAAGGATTTTGTGTCTATATTTATCAGGGATATTATATTGGTCTGTAGTTTTCTTTGCTTGATGTGTCTTTGTCTTGTTTTGGTATCAGTGTGATAGTGGCTTCATAGAATGAATTTGGGAGTGTTCCCTTCATTTCTATCTCATGGAATAATTTGAGGAAGCTTGGCATTAATTCTTTTTTTTTAATTTTTTTTTTATTGTTGGTTGTTCAAAACATTACATAGTTCTTGACATATCATATTTCACACTTTGATCAGGCATTAATTCTTTTTTAAAGATCTGGTAGAAGTTTGCTAAGAATCCATTTGGTCCTGGATTTTTCTTTGTTGGAAGCCTTTTAATTTCTGCTTCATTCTCATTAGTTCRGTTTGGGTAGGTCATGTGTCTTGAGATTTGTTTGTATTGTCTAGATTTTCTAGTTTATTGGAGTGTAAGTTTTCAAAATAGTTTCTAATGATTCTCTGGATTTCAGAAGTATTTTGGTGATAACTCTAATTTTGTTGATTCAGGTCTTCTCTTTTTGTTTGGTTTGTCAGTCTGGTTTATCTCTTCAAAGACTCAACTCTGCATTGATCCTGTGTAATTTTTTTTTAAATTCTCAAGTTCATTAATTTGGGCTCTGATCTTATTTCCTGTGTTCTACTAATTCTGGAATTAGTTTGTTTTATTTCGAGGGCCTCAAGGTGTAATGTTTGATTACTTACTGAGGATCTTACTATTTTTCTTTTTAAAGGAACTCAATGCTATAAACTTTTCTCTTGAACTGTGTTCCTACTGTCCTAAAGATTTTGATGTGTGTATCTCTGTTCCCATTTACTCCTAAGAATTTTTTTTTATTTCTCCATGTATATCCTCTGTAATACATTTCTCATTCAAAAGCATATTATTTAATCTCCAGGTATTAAAATTGTTTCATTTTTTATATTATTTATTAATTTCATTCCATTATGATCTGATAGGATGCAAGGAATTMTATTTTTTTGTATTTGCTAAGACTTGCTTTGTGCCCTAAAATACAATCTATTTTAGAGAAAGTTCCACGTGCTACTGAGAAGAAAGTGAATTCATTTGTTGACGAATGAAATCGTTTATACATATCTGTTAGGTCCATTTAATTAATAGTGTTTTTTTAGTTCTGAAGAGTCTTACTTAATTTGTCTGGTTGACCTGTCTAATGGTAAGAGAGGTCTTGAAATCATACAGTATTATTGTATAATGGTCTATTTGATTCTTTGTATTGAGAGGGATTTGTTTTATATTCATAGGTACACCACTGTTTCTGTGTAAAATCTCTATCCTGCTATTTGGTAAATTCTTTTGTTTTTTCAAGCTTCGTCTTTGATTCTGTAGACTTTTCTAGGTCTACAGTGCTATCATCTGCAAAAGATACTGTTTTATTTGCTTTTCCCTATTTTTCTATATCTTGAATTATATTCTCTAGGCTTTGAAAATTTTCCATTGCTTTGGAACTATTTGATCAATAAAAATTTGGTTGAATTCACCTTTAAAACAACAGAGCCCTGGTTATTTTTCAATGAAATATTTCCTTAATAACTATTTATAATATTCTTCTTTGGACACTGGTCTTTTTAATTGTCTATTTTCGCTGTGTTTACCTAACAGATTATCCATTTCCTCCTAGGTTGGCAAAGTTATTTGGATAAAAGCAACCAATATAGTATTATGAATTTTAAAATTTCTTCTGGATCAGTAGTTTTATACCTCCTATCATCATATATGTATATATTTGCCTCCCTATGATAACTTTTTCCTTAATTTCATTAGCCAATGAACATTGTTCATTGCTTCAAAGAACCAGAATTTTTATTTATTGTTTTGATGTGTTTTTTCTATTATTAGTTACTGCTTTATTTTTATTATTTCCTTCCTGTGCAAGACTCTTATTTTGTCAGTTTTCTTTTTTAACTTTTTGAGCTGTGAATTTAATTCATGTATTACCCTTCTTTTATTTTATCGATACAGATATTTAGGGCTTTGATTTATCCTCTGATCATTATTTTAAACATATTCCATAGATTCTGACATATGATGCTTATCACTGATTTTTCTGAAATTAATTTGTTTGTATTTTCACTTTTATCATTTGATGGAAAATCTTTTAATTTCCATTGACAGGGTTTTTATTTTCTAGTGCTATTAAATTGTGATTGGGGAATATTGTCTGAATATTTGTTTTGTGCAACCTGATGTTCTTTGTGCTTTACTATATGATAAATTTTGTTGTAAACAGTTTAATGCACTTGAAAAAATACATTCTTTCATATCAGGGTATAGTATTTACTATATATCTAAAATATCTACCTTTAAATATATACCTTTTGGGTTTTATGTAGATCTTTTATATTATGGCTTGAYTTTTGTCCACTTGACCCATTATAAATTAAGAATAGTGTTTTAAAGTTTTTTATTATGAGTATGTTTTTGCATTTCCTATAAGTTTTATTTTATATAGATGGTTTGTTATGTTTGTTCCATGGATATTCTAAAGTGTCATTCTTCATTGTGAAATGTGGCTTTTATAAAGTTTCCTTTCTGATGCATTTACTTTTAAGGGGCATATTTGTTTTGGCCAGACATCTACTTTGTCTGGTATTAGAGTTCAACTCTTGTTTTATTATGGATTTGAGTTTTGCTTTATAAATCATTTTGAAAATCATTTCTTAAAAGTATGTGAGTTAAAATCCTTCATATTATTGATGTGACTGCTAGGTTAGTCTCAACTATGTCCAGTTATTGTCTGTATTATGTGATATTTGCTGTGCTTCCTCATTGGATTAATCTTCTTTACTTTTTAACAGATTTCTTGAGATATTTAGAAAAGTTTGTACTTTATTTTAGTTGTTACCTTTATATTAATAATAATGCCTCAATCCTCTTTTTTTTTCTTTTTACTTTCTATTTCATTGTTAGTTTTAAATGTTATCCTTTGGCCACCTATCATCAAGGAAAAAGCCAATGGATTTACTTTATTTTTCTCAACCATTACCATTTCCTATCCCTTTAGTTTATCTTTTTCATATAAATGGAATCATAGTATATAACCTCTGGTGGCTGACTTTCACTCAGCATAATATMTTTGAGTTTTATCTAGGTGGTTTTATGTACTTGTAATTGTTATATGTTCCTTTTAACTGCTGAAAAGTATTTTAATATCCTTTGTGTGAATGTATCATAGGTAATTGTTTAATGATTATAATCTTGATAATAGTTGGAAAAATAGGACAGAGCCCCGCATATCCTTCCCCTAGCTTCTGAAATGCCAGTATCTTACCAAAAAAAAAAAAAAAAAAAGGAAATTGACATGGTATAAGATGGTTCTTAGCTAGGTCATTGGCCTTATTTAGATATCCCTAATTTTTACAAATTCTTATGTGTGTGTATTTATACATAACACACACACCAACACTAATCAGGATACTGAGTTGTTCAACAGCACCAAAGAAATCCCTGCTTGCTGGTGATACCCCTTTATTGTTGCAACCCTTTTCTTCTCCATCCCTATCCCCTCTATTCCTAACCCCCGGCCAGACTAATTTCTTCTCCAACTCTATATTTCCATCATTTTATCATTTTGAGGATGTAATGTAAATGGAATCATACACAGAACATAAGCTTTGAGATTGACTTTTTTTTTCTATTCATGATATCTCAAGTTCTGGTGAATATCAGTAGTTCGTTCTATTTATTGTTGAATAAAATAGTTCGGTCTATTTATTGTACAGTTTATGAAAAAATATAATGTATACATTTTCTTTTGCAGGGTTGGTGCAAACATCTTAAAGTAATGCTATAGTATATTTTTTACACGTTAAAATATTTGAGTTAAAAGTATTAATCTGCATAATTTTTTCTCTTATAGGAATCTTTGCTATAGAGATTTCTGACACACAAAAAGATTCTTCACATTCTGAGAAAGGTCAAAGTTACAAACGGATTTTTTTTTTGCTATRTGATTGCATTTATCTTTTGAATGCTTGACAATGTTAAATGTATTTATTAACTTCATGCCTCTGAATCTCTGTTCTCATGTGCCACWTTGCAGTGATCTGAGATGACTTATACAAATAAAAATGCATGGCTCTTTCTATCCATACAGTAATAGTGAGTGTAAAATCTGCTTACTTCACTATTGAACACTGTTTTGTTAACAAACTGGAGTAAATAAAGGAGCTTAAAAAAAAGAGGGAAAAGTGTTTTTACAAAACAAATTTCCTTTCCTTTCTTGGTATCTCAAATAATTGATTGGTTAATTTTTTTTCTTTGTGATCTATGTTTTCATGGCTGGAGAAGTTGTGCCAAAATATGCACAGTTTACCAGTATTAGCCTAGGACCCAATATTGCATTTTAGAACCAACCTGACATAAATTCCATGCCATAGTGTGACTTCAGACCAGCAGAAAGTAGGAGTGTGTCAGAGTTTTAAATCCATACTATTGTACCACTCAAACTAATTAAAATACATTTTCTATAATTGTGTTTACTCCTACTATTTTTAGAAAGGTAGGTGATGCTATATCTGTAAAAAATGTAAGACTTYAAAAAATCTGTATTTTTTAATAAGTTTTCTTTAAAACATTAAAGTATTGCAATCAACTTAATTGCCATTTTATTTTATTTTATTTTTTTGCCTGTGGCAGCTGTTTGTAATCCAGAATAACAAGTGCAGTGATGTTTTCTTTTCTCTCCTAAAATCTCCTAAATCTCTTATCCGTCCATAGACTTTGACTTAATGTTGATATTAGAGCCTGAATGCTACTGTATTTTACTGATATAAGTTATTTGTATTCTTGCCATTTTAATAAAAAGTCCTGTCACTAATATTATCCATATGATGTAGAAAGTTTTTCATTTTATTTAGTCATTATTCAATATGACTATAGTGATGWWGGATAGTGCCATGATTTAAATCTTGTTTAATCTTTAGTATGCTGTTATTTTTCCATTAATTCATGCTACATACTCATTTCAGTTTGATCAAAATTTTCAGGTTTTCTTGTTTAGATTAAGACAGTCATTAGATTGACTTAAAAATAATTTAAAATTATAAACATTTTAAAGAATATATGCAAAAAATTATTGATAATATTAAAATAATATACTGACATATGCAAAATTAACCTTTTTTGGATTACTCAGTGACCTTAGTACTATATCATCACAACATTAATTTTTGTCCTTTCATCTAGAAGAATTGACAAATGAACTAGACATGCATGTATCGTGTTAGATGTAGAAGGCAATATGTTAGGGGATGAGAGAAACATGAATAAAGTATGTAAGAAAATAGTTCCATGCTTGATTAAAATTATACTGTTCTTCTATTAATTATAAAATATTTAAAAGGAAAGTTATATGGTATAGTATAAAGGGACCAACATTACCAAAGATAGGCAAAAACCTCAGTGGTGTTCTCTGTTAAAGAAAAACTTTTGTTGAGATCATTTTCAAGAACATTTATTGTTTTAAATTAGATTCTTATTGCTTGATATTTTTAATAGCCTATTGATATGATAAAGATTGGCTAGTACATACTTAATACCAGTACTACCACACATATTCCTCCTTGGATGACAAAAAAATCTGAAGGAGCTCTCAACTCTCAAATGTTATGTTGAATACAAAACATCTACTCTGTTGAAGGGAGGGTGCTATGAAAGAGAACTGTGAACCCTCTGAGTAATTTAAATACAGAATTTGTTATGTTTTAAAGTTCTGTACACCACCAGGATTCTTTTATAAAGTCTGTGCTTTTTTCTGTTAATTTGAGCTACTCTACTGTCCAACCTTCTGTTGGAAGTAGAAGCCAGGCATTTGCATGAGGATCCACTCTGAAGTTCATAGGCTATGGTTTCAAAAGGAACAGGTAATATCCTTTTGATCTTTGGAGTATTACTATTAGAATTCAATCCCTATTAATTACAATTTAGCAAAAAATTTAAAAATTGTCTGACACTCTTGGGGTATTGGCCATAGTGATTACAGTAATTAATTCTGAGAAAATAAAAGAAGAAACAAAAATACTAGTGGAAGCCACTAGGCTTGTCATTAATTATGATTCTTAAACAGTTATTGCTTCAATAATTATTTGAAATTATGCATTGAGTTACTGAAAATATACTTTCCAGTAGTCTTCTGATAAGAATCTTCCATTTTTTTTTTCTATCCTGTCTTCACATTTTCAAGTAAGTCCTTGCTTATGGCTTTTTTATAGTTTCTGTAGTTTCCCAAATATTGTGTTTCAAGTTACATGTTTTGCATAATCAGAAATAGTTTACAACTTTCATTTACTTTTAGTAAGGTACAATGAATTCTACTAATCAAAAAAAGAATCTTCAAAGTTCATGTATCTTAAGTCTTTTCCATAACAGCAATCATAGCCAGTCGTAGGCTATTGAACAGCACAAATTTGTTCAAAGTTAAATCATAAGATATCAGAATGTAACTTAGACTTTTTGTTAGCTTTGAACTTTGCAAGTGAAGAAAAACTCTGGCCTAATACTGTAAAAAATTAAAAGCTGAAGATAATTAGACCATCTATTCCAGCCCCTAGATAAATTTTGCCCCTTAGTGCGTTTCTCCATAATCACAATGAGTTACACTAATTATTTTGGACCTTTCTATAAATTTCCCAGTGAAATTTAAGAACATTTAATGTTTTACCCAAAGAAAGATTTATATTAAATAAAGTCCAAAGCTTTATTATCTTTATGTTTTATCATCTCTATAAAATAATCTGTCATTATCAGTGCCCTTCAGATTAATACCATGTCACAGACAAGATAATACATGGTGGATCAAATTGAACCTACCTTTCTTTCAATAAATTCTTTGAATTTAAAAAAAGCTATTCTTTGATTTTTTAAGGATATTACGTAAGTGCCTTATGGTTTAGAAAAGGATATTTTGTAAATGTAAAATATTTTAGGTGCTTCTTAATTTTTTTATTATTTTAATTGTATTCTTTAATACTTTTGCTGATTCAAAATGATTATTTTATAAGGTTAGAGGAAGTTATACCCTTTTTTTTCCTCTCATATATTTCAGTCTTTTATTTTTTAAATTTGTTTTAATTAGTTATACATGACAGTAGAATGCACTTATATACTTTGATATATCATACATAAATGGGATATAATTTCTCATTTTTCTGAGTATACAYATTATAGAATCACATTGGTCATACAGTCATACACATACATAAAGCAATAATGTCTGTTTCATTCTACTATCTTTCTTATCCCCACATCCCCTGCTTTCCTCTCCTTTCACTYCCCTCTACCTAATCTAAGGTAACGCTATTCTTTTTTTTTTTTTTTTTTTTTGCATTACAATTCTTAATACACATATATACCACAATTTTTGTATCTCTGTATATACAGTATGTTGACACCCAATTCAAGCCTTCATACATGTACTTTGTATAATGATGTCCATCACATTCCACCATCCTTGCTAATCCCCTTAGAGGAAGTTATATTCTAATGTGTAAGTTTCAACAGAATTCATAGAAATAAGCAACATTTGTAATTGCACAATAAACATGCACTTTAAAATATTCAAGTGTAAACAAGTAACACTTGGGCACCTCTGTTAGGCAAGAACTTATCTAAGCTCAAATGGAGTCAGGCACAAAATTACCAGTAATAAATGTTATTGTAGAGTCTCCCTCACTTAACCCTTAGAGAAATTAGAAAGGACACAGTTAGACCCATGTCCTTTTCCATTAGTACTTCCTGATATTAAGGCCATTTAAAATAAAGAATGAATTTACCAAAGTTACCAAAATCACAAATAATATTTCTTATTGCCAGATTAACTCCTGTATCACTTTGCTATAACATCTACAGGCAGAATGATGCTCACAATATTGTCAGATGTTAAATCTGTTATRTATCAAGACACTATAAAAAAAAACAAGTAAATAGCAGAAAGATCGGTAGAGGGAAGAGAACAGGGGGAAGTAGGAAGGGAGGGAAAGGGGACTGAATTAGAGCAAATTATATTCCATGCATTTATAATGATGTCAAAATGAATCCTAATGATATATATATATATATAACTAATGATATATATAACTTTTAGCAAACTATAAGTTTGCTAAAATAAAAAGGATACAGATTGAAATGTGATGCAAACAGTAAGAAAAAAATTTTTATTGTCCTATTCAATAATTCCTAATCCTAGGTTTACTTTAGAGTGATTTGTGAGCCTTTACCAAAAGATGCAATGAAATTAAATGGCCAAGGTGCAGTAATGTGCTTGAAACAGAGTATAGCTTTATCATCAATTTTGAAGAATCTAACTAACTGTTCTAAGTTTTGCAGACCTAACTTAAATAGATGATCATTATGTTTATGTTATACTTGGTTAAATTATTTTATGCTTCTCCTTTCCAAACTAAATTTTTTTCTTATGAAGTTAGCACAATTTATTATGCTGCTTCCTTTGATTGTCTAGGAATTGTKCTCCAATATACTATCCTTATTTCTTTTCTGACTTTACAGCCTGTCTCTTAGTTTTTTTWAAAAAACCATTTTTAGTTGTAGATGGACACAGTACCTCTTATTTATTTTTATGACCTCTTCCATTAGCTGAGGATCAAACCCAGTGCCTCACACATGATAGGCAAGCGCTCTACCACTGAGCCACAACCCCTGCCCACTGAAGTTTTTATTTATAAATCTCCTTTTCTAGTTTGTGTTAATGAAATGTGTGCTTTGCAGGTAACCTCAATCAACTTTAGTGAATAAATCTTCATTTGCTCTGTTATAAATATACTCTTAGACATAGTCCTGTCCTTAGAGGATATTATCAAAGAGAGGCCATACAGCCTACTTGAGAATTCTGTTGATGGTTGTGTCTTTGTAGGCACATTGTAAGTTTTCAATAAATGTCAACTGTTACTATAGGACTTCCTTGTGACATCTGTGCAATTGTTTAAGGATATAATTATTTGCACATTTCATATGTGCTCAAGCAATATTTGCAAAATTGATAATCTGGGACTTCTATCAACTTTTGTCTTTTAATATTAACTATGTAATTATTTAATGTGTTAAGTGTTTTTGAAATATTTGCTGCTTTTAAATTTTAAATTAGAATGGTGTCAGGCACATTATAAGTTTTCAATAAATGTTAATAGTTATTATAGGATCTCCCTCACTTAGCCCATAGAGAAATTGGAAAGGACACAAAGAGACCCACCCATTTTCTCTTTCATTAGTACTTACTGAAGTTAAGGCAATGCTTAAAGGAATTAGTTTACCAAAGTTATCAAGTATGGCACAGTTGTGATTCACTACTATGAAGAATTTTAGTATGTCTAAAATAGTATATTTTAAGCAGATTTCTTTTGTGCGCTAAAATATGGTAAATGTTCAGTAGTCAACTGAACATCAGATTTTCAAAACACCACCTCAAATCTCTAACAATAGAAAAGCCAATAATTTTTAGTAAAATTTCTACATATTATCTCTTTACCATGTTTTCCCAGTTCTTGGCTCAATATTACAGCATTTCTTGAGTGAGGGAGATTGGCCAGACTGATGCTTCTAAGCACAGCATGTGAAATATTATTTCCTGAGATARCGTCATCATTAAATGACATGCTGAAACTCAGATATGCTGAAAGGTACGTCAGAATCTGCTCTGCTGTGTTAGTGTGGCGTACCATCTCCATAGCCACACTTTTTCAGTAATGTTCTCATTATTTCTGTCAGAGCATTTCTTATGTAGAAGTGGTTTGGTTATTATTCTGAATTTGCACTTACTCCTTTATGTAAATTTAATAAAACATTAAATTATATCATGAAATTAATGT